TTTCTTAGATAAATGATATTTTTGATGTGTTCTTAAATGTTGGTAAATAATTTGTGCTTGAAAGTGTTCTATATATATAGTAAAGTACTGTCATCTTGTGCACATATTAAACAAATGATAACCTGTTTGACGGGTAATGCGCTTTTTATTCCAAGCGAAACTCATACTCTTCACCAAACAAGGGCAAACTAAAATGTCCGTCCTTCCTTCGAAACGGTAGAAGGAAGAGATGGATAAGATCTCTAAACCCGATTTTGTTTTAAAGCTCAATTGAAAGCTTTTAACTTGCACAGTGAGCTCTGAACTTAAAGTGTAGCTCGACTGGCTTCAACAGGTCGCCACACAACTGTGCTTCATCCGAGACTACAATGTATCTCAGTAAAAGTAAGTTGTTATTTTTACCTATCTAATGACCCTTTTGTATAACTTAACTTTTATGATGATTTCGTGCGTATGTCGTCTCCGTATGTCTGCGAATTCGGGCGTTACGATGGTTTTGTAGGCTGTCTACTGAACATTAAATATAAATATTCATATATCCTGTGTAGGGTGTCTGTCGTGAACCATTTGTAGGCTGTCTGTCGAATACCCTTTGTAGACTGTCTGTCCTATACCCTTTGTATGATTTCTATCGTATACCATTTGTAGGCTGTCTGTCGTATTGCCTTTATAGGCTGTCTGTCGCATACTTCTTGTAGGCTGTCTGTCATATACCCTTTGTAGGCTGTCTATCGTATACCCCTTGTAGGTTGTCTGTCGTATACCCTTTGAAGTTTGTCTGTCTTATATCTTTTGAAGTATGTCTGTCATATACCCTTTTAAGTCTGTCTGTCGTATACCCTTTGTAGGCTGTCTGTCGTACACTTCTTGTAGGCTGTCTCTCATATACTTCTTGTAGGTTGTCTATCGTATACCCTTTGTGTGCTTTCTATCGTTTACCCTTTGTAGGCTGTTTTTCGTATACCCTTTGTAGGAAGTTTGTCGTATACTTCTTGTAGGCTGTTTGTCGTACTTCATTTGTAGGCTGTCTGTCGTATAGACTTTGAATGCTGTGTGTCGAATACTTCTTGTTGGTTGTCTGTAGTATACTTCTTATAGGCTATCTGTCGTATACCCTTTGAAGTATGTCTGTCATATACCCGTTGTAGGCTTTCTATCGTATACCCTTTGTAGGCTGTATGTCGTATAAACTTTGTAGGCTTTCTATCGTAAACCCTTTGAAGGCTGTCTGTCGTAAACTTCTTGTAGGCTGTCTGTCGAATACCCTTTGTATGCTGTCTGTCGTATACTTTTTTAGGCTGTTTTTCGTAAACCATTTGTTGGCTGTCTGTTGTATACCCTTTGTAGGCTGTCACTCGTATACCCTTTGTATGCTGCCTGTCGTATACTTCTTGTAGGCTGTCTTTCGTATACTTTTTTTAGGCTGTCTGTCGTATATTCTTTGTAGGTTGTCTGTCGTATATTCTTTGTAGGCTGTCTGTCGTATACTTCTTGTATGCTTACTATCGTATATCCTTTGTAGCACTACTGGAGAAGAGGCCATTAAGCTCTAATGAAAAACCCATTAACTTTCCCCAATTACATTCCCATGAAAAAGACATCAAAATACCATGAAGTAAACCCATTTAAGTGCTAAAAATCAATGGGGTGCTTTTAATGGTATTCAGAGCATTACTATTTGAGGTTATGGCCGTTAAAATCTGCACTCCAAAATAATAATGGCCATTATACTGATACTACATTTCATGGCCATTAAATATCCACCTGCCATTACTTCAAAAGTAATTGTGTTTTCATGGCCATTATAGTGCTAAAAATCAATGGCTTATTAATGGGGCCATGAACATTATGAGCATAACTTTCATTTTAATGCCAATAAAAAAAAGCTACATTGATGGCCATGAAAATGTCTTCTAACAGCTAAAGTAATGGCCCTGAAAAATAATAGTAATGGCTGTAAAATTTGGACAAGGAACAAAGTTTTAATGGCCATGAGGACAGTAATGACAATGAATGATCTGCATGATCAGCCACATTTTTTGGGGGGTGGGAATAATTGTTGATAAAAATCAGAATCAGAATTGAAAACATTATATATTTAATCAGTCTACACATTATTAACATACATGTATAAATTTTGTATATATATGTGATAAAGAATGTGTGCAATCATGTTAAATGATAAAGATTTCCAGATCAAGTATCAAAAATTAATCAAAAGGGTTAATTAAACATGAAAAAAAAAGAAATTGAATTGTCATCTGTGACAACTGCCTAAAGTTATTTTTTCCACATATAAATATACAAGATATACAAGTACATGGATTTTGCCAGGTGTCTAGGGTTCGGTATATTAGGTCTATTTTCAATTGAATATCGTCGTTGTGTTTTCCAAAATTTAACCAAAATTTTCTCAATCGGAAATGTACACGACCAAAAGTGAATACTGTTATAGAATCTGATGATGACAATTTGGAAACCAGTAAAATAAAACTGTCAAATCTCTGATGCTATTTTCTCAATTTTCAAAGAAATGCCAACAAATTTTCCCAATTTTAGGACAGTGTACCATTCCCAAAATATCGGCAAAATCCCTATGTACAACTAGAACACTGACAGGTCAGCAAGGGCCCCGTGTTGTGGCCATATACATCCCCCATAATCATAAAGAGGTCATCTGCCCATATAGCTGAGCTTGACGTTTGACATTTGGACTTCAAAAAGAATCGCAAGGAAGCAAAATATACATTTTACATGTATTATGGTGTGAGTCTTGTTTCCTTCCACCTCCAAATTTGCTGGACTAACAGAAATGTAAATAACGGTGCAATATTGAGTATTTGTTAGCTTTGATTTGTTTTATTTAACCTTTAACTTTGGACCCAAATGACCTTGACCATTAACCCAGTGACCCTGATCTTTGGTCAGTTGACTTATTCTCTAATTCCGACCAACTTTGCTTAATATCGTAACAAAATGTTCATCAGTGAAAAGATGTAATATTTGACCTTAACCTTTGAACCTAATGACATTGAACATGATGACCTTGACCTTTGGTCAGTTGACTCCTTGTTTGATTCTGATCAACTTTGCTTCATAATGTCATAACAAAATGTTCATCAGTGAAAATATGTAAAATTTGACCTTGACCTTTGAACCCAATGACCTTGACCCTTGACTTTTTACCTCAATATGTATTTTTGTAAACTGAACATCTTGACCAAGTTTCATGTAAATCGGTCAATCAATACCAAAGTTATCAGCCAGGAACAAAATTTGTGGACGGACGGACGGACAGACGGACAGATAGACAGACAGACAGTGATTACTATAGGGCACCCGTATCTCCGATACGGGGCCCTAATTATGAAATGCTACAATGTATCTAGTAGTAAAAAATGTAGTGTAGTAACTGTGTTTTGGTTATTAATAAAAAGTCATATCTATAGATCTACTAGATATTTTAGATTAATAAACACAAATTCAATAGGTTCTTAGTTTTTTCTTGGATTTTATTTGAGACAAGGAACTTATATTATAAATTGAAAATTTGCTACAAAATATAAGGTCTGATTTAACTACTTGTTTAAAAGAAACTAAAACGAAAATAATGTTTTTCTTCTGACAAGCCCTATCTATATGATCTAAAATCAAAAACCAACTATATTTTAAACCAGTAACTAATAACTGAATAACACTATAGTTAGAACTACAAGATATATATTTATATATATACCAGAGATCCTGGCACACCATTGTAAAATCTCATGATGATACTAAATGGTACTTAAGGTATATTATATTATATATACCGGGGGTATGCAAGTATATCATAACATATATCCGATTCCAATTTAATCAATCACGACAATGTAACAAAAGGAATGTGCATGAAATTGTAGAAAATCTGTTTAGTGCTATAAGAAAAAGTATTTTTTAAACCTTGGTAAGGACAGAAAATAAACAACTGATCGCGAACGAAAAGTGATTTGAACTGCATGCCCAGCCCATAAACATCAGAAGACGTTGAGCAAAACATTTTGCTTCATCACATAATTTTAGAAATTAAAAAGGCAAGGTCACAAGTCAGCCATTGATTTACCCTAAATACAGAGAGAGAAAAAAAACACAGTTATAAACAGTGCATACTCATGAGTCAGTGTTTAAATCTATATCGTCAATATGATAGCAGGTAAAATATACCAAGATGATATCTATGGTTTAATTTGGTAATAGGCTAATATATTACTAAACCAAATAACACTCAACGGCCTTGCACACATCTTTAATGAACTTGGCATGATTTTTTCCTTGTATTTGGATTGTAAAATACTTCTTGCCCATAACTTTGTATGATGAAAGAGGTGGCATCCAAACTAAGAAATCTTTATCTGGATGATTTTGTACGTCACGATGATTGAGTTCAAGCATTTTGCAATCTAAATTGTTCTTGCAAAGCATCCTGTAACACCACCCTCAAAATCAGTAATTCTGCATATTGGTTGTTTACAGCTAATTACTTTGTCTTCCTCTTTCAGCCAAAGACCTGCATAAATTTCCCCACCATTCCATTCCATCAAAACAACTTTTTCATTTCTTTCCATATCAGTATTGAGCCCAAAATAACTCTCTGGGTCCGCCACTGGTATGCGAGTTCATTAATTGGACAGACATATGTTATGAAATATGGAGATACATCAAAACATTATTTTAATTTCATTGTCAAAATTACCTTCCAAGCATTTCCTTCCATTTTCTGTTAATTTCAATTTTAGTTCCTCCATGCCTTCGACCAAATCTAAATTTTCGCGCCTTGCAGTTCACGTGCGCGTTTTCTTTCGATCGCTGTCAGCAGTATGCTTAGGGTCTCATTCATCCAAAACACCACAATACAAGAGTCTGATTGAAGGAGACCAATCGCTGTCAACAGTATGCTTCACGGTCTCGATAAACCACCGCAATACAAGAGTCTGATCGAGAGAGACCAATAGAGTCGTTTACGTAACAAATGACTCTTCATGCCAGGAAATTTGAAGTGTTTATGTAGGATATGCCGAGGTGATGGGCCTCCCGTGTCCAGATATTTACGTTTATCCCATAAACGTAAATATGGAGATTTCGCAAGCTATAACGCCTATGAGTATGACGATCAATCGGTTCTCAACTATGCAGAAAAGGAACGTCCGGAAAGGTACGACATTTTCCCCACAGGCCAAGCATTTTCATGATATTGTCATTCAACAACTGTATAATCAGAAACTGTGCAACAAGAGAGATTAATGTCAACTTACAAAAATAGATGACACGATATAATCTACAGGTCCAATACAATGCTATAAAGACGCGTTACATGGTAGGGTTTACAGCTGGATTTACGAAAAGCATATAATGAAATATCGTTTGGTCACATGAACCTTCCTCATCTTTCAATACACATTAGGTTATTTAGATTGATATATTATATTGTAAGTATAGCTTGCTATCTTGATGTTTCCAAATATCACAGTCACAATAACACAACACTATTATTTACATTAACAGCGATAATGATAAGCTCCAGGATGATGACGATTCCAGAGAACAAGATAATAATTATAACGAATCTACTCAACAGGAATTTGAACACCCTAAGTAAGTACTTGATGTGTGATTTGAAAAATTCCAGCCGAAAATATAAATGATATAGTATAATATTATCACAAAACATGCACTATATTTCCTCTGCAGTTTTTGACTTTCTTTAATTATCTTGAAATAAGTTCAATTTAAAAAAGATTTTCTGCGTTTTTAGGTTACTTTCAGTTGTTGTGATGATTATTTTTATATATAAAAATTTGCATATTTTACTGTGCAATTTTTCCTATTTCCTTTTTCTTTTTACAGTGGTAAACTTTCTTCAAATGTAATCAACTTTTTAAAAGTTCTAAGAGGCTCAGAGTCATAAGGGATAAATGGTTCTCTAGAAGTTTGTTCAATGAACAACCTTGACCCACGTTTAAAGTAACATGAGTGATGAGATATTTTAAACAACTTTTACTGAATAAGCCAACATTCTAGTGTCATGGTATTATGATCAGTAACATACTTGAATAATTGAAGGGTATTAAGTTTGGAATCTAAATGAATGAGTAGACCATCTTTAAAAGTTCAGTGAATAAAATACATGTATCTTCAATTCTACCAAAAAGTGTTCATACAGGGTGTTATTATGTAATGAGACCTTGTCACATTTTCTTCATCAACAATTATAATGTGAATGCAATATTTTATGTATTGCAGTGGTGAACAGAACAACGCTGAAAGGACACTGCATTTGGACCATATTGATACAGATGCAGAGATGGACACTGCCTTTGAAATTTCTTCAGAATCTGATCAGTCTTCTAACAGTGGTGATAGTCTAGAAGAGAATGGTGATTCATGTACAAACAATTTGAATGATATAGTTAAAAAGGGGATATGGAATTTCAACTATGATAAGACCTTGTATTCATCAGGATTGGCAATTGAAGAAATACCAGGCACTGATTTGACTATTTTACAATGGATTGCCTTGAATTTTCACACATTTACCAGTCATCCAAGCTTTAGCAAGGAAGCCTTTACAGATACACTGAAAATTCAAAAACGATTGCTGACCAGTACTTCCAATGGTAGAAATATACCTCTGCCATCATCATATTATGAAGCAAAGAAACTGATACGTGATTTTCTGGTGAAAAAAGTTTCATTCCATGTTTGTCCTAAGGACTGTGTTATCTTTCGCAATTCTGAAAAGTATTCCTACGCTGATCTGCAAAAGTGCCCTGTGTGTGGGGAAGAAAGGTATAAAAATCACGAAAAGAAAACTCCACACAGAACATTTGATTACATTCCAATAGGACCAAGATTAGCACGGATATATGGCGAACCAAACTTGGCCACGATTGTGCAATCTCATCCAGGCTCAACAAATGAACTTCTTGAAAAACACAATCAAATGTTTGACATACACGATGCACCCAAATGGAAATCTGTTTATTCAGAAAATGGGTTTTTTAAGTCAGACAAAATGGGTCTTTCTTTTGCGATGGAAGTTGATGGTGTCAATCCCTATCATAATATTGGTGTTATCTACTCCATGACACCTATCATGTTAACTATTCTGAACTTACCACGACATATCAGGAATCGATTTGAAAGTATTATGCTTGTAGGGATAATCAAAGGACAAAGAAACCATTCTGAAGCAAGTGTTGATGCCTATGTAGAGGTTTTGGTAGACGAACTGCTGTTTCTAAGTGGCTGCACGACATTCACTGCTTACAATAAAGCACCAGTACAAGTCAAACTTAAACTGCTGTTGCATGTTTTAGATTATCCAGGCCTATCCAAACTTTTTCACCAACATGGAAGTGGAAGTCTGTCAGCCTGTCATTGGTGCAATATTCAAGGAATTCACTGTCCAAAGTTACAGAAAGTAGTGTACTTACAAAATAGATCTTATTTGAAAGACAATGACATGATCAGACAGGATTATTCTAATTTTATCGGAAAATGTGTTGACGATAGCTCCAAACCAAAGGCAAGAATATTGGAGACAGAGAAAACCTACAGGGAAGCATATGAAAATGCGAAAAATAAGACACAAGCAAAAACTGTAGCAAAAGTAACAGGGTGTAAAGGAAAATATCCCTTACTTAACTTACCGGGTCACAACAGAATAGAGGAGTGTTGCCCAGATGCTTGTCATACATTGAAAGATGTTGTGCAGACAATAGTTCATCTTATCAGCTGCAAAAATGTCAACAAAGAAAAGAAAATTGCAGCAGAAAAGCATTATGGTAGATTTAATGACTTTCGTCAAGATCCACCAAATGCATCTTGTGACAAAGATTTAGAAGTCCCTGAGAAATCCTCTAGGAAACGTAAATGGCATTCCGTCTCTAAATCTAAGCCGAAAGCCTCCAGTCGACAAGTTTTAACACAAGATTCTTCTGTAGCTGATTGTGAACATCCAGCTGTGCAATACCCATTCTTTCTTACAAGGAACGAATTGAAAAAAGCGGATGAACGTGCAAACTTGCTAAAATTTCCAATTGACTTTGGACTGAAATCTGCAGATTATTTCTCAAAAAGTAGCAGCTTAAAATCCCATGATTGGAAACAATTAGGCACACAGGGAATACTGAAATTTTGTATAAGAGGATTATTGGGAAATTTGCAAAGACGCACATTATTCATGTTACTGGACTGTTTCTCAGACATATGCTGTGAACACCAAAGCTTAGATGAACTTGATGAACTTGAAGGTCGCTTCAATACAGCATTGGCACGTCTTGAACGTGATTTTCCCATCACATTACAGAACATCACAACACACATTTTGCACCACATAATTGATGGGATTAGATCTTTTGGCCCAGTGTACGGGACTTGGATGTATGTATTTGAGAGATTTAATAGTTGGCTGTGTAAAAGGTCTCTAAATATGTGCCATCCTGAGGCCACTGCAACAGAAACATATATTTTATATGATTGGTGCCAGTTTATGATACAATCTGGTAAACTTGATATTAACACTGCATCTCTACCTGGAATTAGTGAAGATGTGCAAGACGACGTATACAAAGAAGGTCGTATTGGAAATAGTGGAAGAAGAGAGAGAATAGCTTTGGGCTTGAGGTACTTGGATGTAATTCATGGACAATGTGGTACAAGAACTGCTGAATGTAATATTAGTAATGGCTGTAAAGTTGATAAAATTACTGACACAGTGTTAGTAGAACAACCTTTCTTAAAGAAGAGGATAACTTATAGTTGTCGCTCTGCTGAAAAATGTACAAAAACAGTATCTTCCTTTGTGTGTGTGGAAAGCAAGAGGGGTTCTCAAAATCAAAAGCTTGTTGATGGAAAGTTTGCAGCTTTTGGACGTATACAATATTTCCTTGAACATAAAGGAGGAAGCAACAAGAGGGATCTCCTTGCATGTGTTAGCTTGTTTGAGAACACTGAGTATGACGTTGAAAATGGCCTGTGGTTTGCACGATCAGAAGAAATCAGAAAGTCTCGATATGTCCATACAGATTCACTGTCAGCACCTTTAATAACTGGCACAGACAATGGGTGTTTATGGTTTTGCAATTACAGAAAAGCACGGTCTAAACAGATTTAGCCAACATAATCATATTCTTAGCTAACATATGATCATATTCTTCCAAATGTGTACTTCATTACAAAGTGTACATGCATAATATGGTACATGTATTGCACAATGTATTAATGATTGCAGACATACTGTATACTGAAACAAAACATTTAATTGAGTGGAATATGAAATTTATTTAACTAAGATATAATTGGAAATTATTGTATGTCATGATTGAGTCTCATAAATAAATGTAGGTTGAATTACACAGTAATCGTTCAACTGATTTGTTGTGTTTATTTCCTGTTAACAGTCAAGGTTATTTTTGAGGCACAAGTTAATTTCCTTGTAGTAAGCAGTGGCTTAGTACTTTCCTAAACATGCATGGGGGCACTAGTATCCTTGCAGCTGCTAAAAAATCTTTGGGAAAAACACAGCTAACACATACATAATAAGAATCAAACCCTTTACTTCAGATCTCTACCAACAGATACTATAGGCTCTTTATGCCTTTGTAGTACACATGATGACATTATTATTAGACATTAGACAATGGCCACAATGGTCATGGGTCAATGAAATGTAAGTAATGGCCATTAGAGATTTCTTTTATATAAAAAATGTTATGCAATTTCGAATAATAGCCATTAATTGCTAAAGGTTATTTAATAATGGCCAATAATAACTACTTACAATGCAAAGCAATTGGAATATAGAGAAAGTAATGACCGTTAATTAAAAAGTAGAAGGCAACATATTATTTTAGCATAATAATGGCCATTACTTAACCATTCCATGACTTCATGGCCATTGATTCTCAATTTAAAGTTCATCACCAAATTACACAATATTAATGGCCATGGTATATTACTTATCATGCCCCTGAATTTAAAGTCAAACAAGAATTAATGGCCATGACAAATTATCCATGCAAAATTTATTGCCATTAGAGTATTTTTCAGGGTCATTAATGCATGTTTAATGGCCATTATCTTCCTTTTTCATGCCAAAGTGATGGTAGTATTCAGACAATTAATGGGTACAAGGTCATGGCCATCAAAACATTTCAAACAAGAAATAATGGTGTATTTTAATGGGTTCATGGGATTTTCATAGGATTTTCATAGGAAATTAATGGCATTGGCATTTGGTAGTGATAGGGTGTCTGTCGTTAACCATTTGTAGACTGTCTGTCATATACTTCTTGTAGATTGTCTGTCGTATACCCTTTGTAGACTGTCTGTCCTATACCATGTGTAGGCTGTCTGTGGTATACCCTTTGTAGTCTGTCTGTCGCATACTTCTTGTAGGCTGTTTGTCATATACCCTTTGTAGGCTGTCTGTCGTATACTTCTTGTAGATTGTCTGTCGTATACTTCTTGATGGTTGTCTGTCGTATACCCTTTGTAGACTGTCTGTCCTATACCATGTGCAGGCTGTCTGTGGTATACCCTTTGTAGTCTGTCTGTCGCATACTTCTTGTAGGCTGTCTGTCATATACCCTTTGTAGACTGTCTGTCGTATACTTTTTGATGGTTGTCTGTCGTATACCCTTTGTAGACTGTCTGTCGTATACCCTTTGTATGCTGTCTGTCGTATACCCTTTGTATGCTGTCTGTCGTATACTTTTTAGGCTGTTTTTCGTAAACCATTTGTTGGCTGTCTTTCGCATACCTTTTCAGACTGTCACTCGTATACTTCTTGTAGACTGTCTGTCGTATACTTCTTGATGGTTGTCTGTCGTATACCCTTTGTATGCTGTCTGTCGTATACTTTTTTAAGGCTGTTTGTCGTAAACCATTTAAATGGCTGTCTGTTGTATACTTCTTGTAGGCTGTCTGTCGTATACCCTTTGTATGCTGTCTGTCGTATACTTTTTAGGTTGTTTTTCGTAAACCATTTGTTGACTGTCTTTCGTATACCCTTTGTAGGCTGTCTGTCGTATACTTTTTTTAGGCTGTTTGTTGTAAACCATTTAAAGGCTGTCTGTCGTATACCTTTGTAGGTTGTCTGTCGTATATTCTTTGTAGGTTGTCCGTCGTATATTCTTTGTAGGCTGTCTGTCGTATACCATTTGTAGGCTGTCTGTCGTATACCTCGTGTAGGCTGTCTGTTGTATACCCTTTGAAGGCTGCCTGTCGTATACTTTTTTTAGGCTGTTTGTCGTAAACCATTTAAAGGCTGTCTGTCGTATACCTTTGTAGGTTGTCTGTCGTATATTCTTTGTAGGCTGTTTGTCGTATACTTCTTGTAGGTTGTCTGTCGTCGTATACCCTTTGTAGGTTATCTGTCGTATATCCTTTGTACAATGAAGTCTGTCTGTCGTATACCCTTTGTAAAATGTAGGCTGTCTGTCGTATACTTCTTGTAGGTTGTCTGTTGTCGTATACCCTTTGTAGGTTATCTGTCGTATACCCTTTGTACAATGAAGTCTGTCTGTCGTATACTTCTTGTAGGTTGTCTGTCGTATATTCTTTGTAGGCTGTTTGTCGTATACTTCTTGTAGGTTGTCTGTCGTCGTATACCGTTTGTAGGTTGTCTGTCGTATACTTTTTTAGGTTGTTTTTCGTAAACCATTTGTTGGCTGTCTGTCGTATACCCTTTGTAAAATGTAGGCTCTTGTAGGTTGTCTGTCGTCGTATACCGTTTGTAGGTTGTCTGTCGTATCCTTTTTTAGGTTGTTTTTCGTAAACCGTTTGTTGGCTGTCTGTCGTATACCCTTTGTATATTCTTTGTAGGCTGTTTGTCGTATACTTCTTGTAGGTTGTCTCTCGTATATTCTTTGTAGGCTGTCTGTCGTATACCATTTGTAGGCTGTCTGTCGTATTCCCTTTGAAGGCTGCCTGTCGTATAATACCCTTTGTAGGTTATCTGTCGTATATCCTTTGTACAATGAAGTCTGTCTGTCGTATACCCTTTGTAGGCTGTCTGTCGTAAACCATTTGTTGGCTGTCTGTCGTATACTCTTTGTAGGCTGTCTGTCGTATACCATTTGTAGGCTGTCTGTCGTATACCCTTTGAAGGCTGCCTGTCGTATACTTCTTGTAGGCTGTCTTTCGTATACCCTTTGTATGCTGTCTGTCGTATACTTTTTTTTAGGCTGTTTGTCGTAAACCATTTAAAGGCTGTCTGTCGTATACTTCTTGTAGGTCTGTCGTATATTCTTTGTAGGCTGTCTGTCGTATACCATTTGTAGGCCGTCTGTCGTATACCTCGTGTAGGCTGTCTGTTGTATACCCTTTGTATGATGTTTTTCGTATACTTATTGTAGGCTGTCTGTCGTATGCCCTTTGTAGGCTGTCTGTCGTATACCCCTTGTAGGCTGTCTGTCGTATACTTCTTGTAGGTTGTCTGTCGTATATTCTTTGGCGGTTGTCGGTCGTATACCATTTGTAGGTTGTCTGTCGTATACCATTGTACAATGTAGGCTCTCTGTCGTATACCCTTTGTACAATGTAGGCTGTCTGTCGTATACCCTTTGTGCAATGTAGGCTGTCTGTCGTATACTTCTTGTAGGCTGTATGTCGTATACTTCTTTGTAGGTTGTCTGTCCTATATTGTTTGTATGTTGTCTGTCGTATACCATTTGTACAATGTAGGATGTCTGTCGTATACCCTTTGTACAATGAAGTCTGTCTGTCGTATACCCTTTGTAAAATGTAGGCTGTCTGTCGTATACTTCTTGTAGGCTGTCTTTCGTATACCCTTTGTATGCTGTCTGTCGTATACTTTTTTTAGGCTGTTTGTCGTAAACTATTTCAAGGCTGTCTGTCGTATACTTCTTGTAGGTTGTCTGTCGTATATTCTTTGTAGCTGTCTGTCGTATACCATTTGTAGGCTGTCTGTCGTATACCCTTTGGAAAATGTAGGCTGTCTGTCGTATACTTCTTGTAGGCTGTCTTTCCTATACCCTTTGTATGCTGTCTGTCGTATACTTTTTTTAGGCTGTTTGTCGTAAACTATTTCAAGGCTGTCTGTCGTATACTTCTTGTAGGCTGTATGTCGTATACTTCTTTGTAGGTTGTCTGTCCTGTAATGTGTAGGCTGTCTGTGGTATACCCTTTGTACAATGTAGGCTGTCTGTGGTATACCCTTTGTACAATGTAGGCTGTCTGTGTTATACCCTTTGTACAATGTAGGCTGCCTGTCGTATACCCTTTGTGCAATGTAGGCTGTCTGTCGTATACTTCTTGTAGTCTGTATGTCATATACTTCTTTGTAGGTTGTCTGTCGTATACCGTTTGTATGTTGTCTGTCGTATACCATTTGTACAATGTAGGCTGTCTGTCGTATACCCTTTGTACAATGTAGGCTGTCTGTCGTATACTTCTTGTAGGTTGTCTGTCGTCGTATACCCTTTGTAGGTTATCTGTCGTATACCCTTTGTACAATGTAGGCTGTCTGTCGTATACCCTTTGTACAATGTATGTTGTCTGTCGTATACCCTTTGTACAATGTAGGCTGTCTGTCGTATACCCTTTGTACAATGGAGTCTGTCTGTCGTATGCCCTTTGTAGGTTATCTGTCGTATGCCCTTTGTACAATGTATGTTGTCTGTCGTATACCATTTGTACAATGTAGGCTGTCTTCGTATACCCTTTGTATGCTGTCTGTCGTATACTTTTTTTAGGCTGTTTGTCTTAAACCATTTCAAGGCTGTCCGTCGTATACTTCTTGTAGGTTGTCTGTCGTATATTCTTTGTAGGCTGTCTGTCGTATACCCTTTGTGCAATGTAGGCTGTCTGTCGTATTCCCTTTGTAAAATGTAGGCTGTCTGTCGTATTCCATGTGTAGGCCGTCTGTCGTATACCTCGTGTAGGCTGTCTGTTGTATATCCTTTGTATGATGTTTTTCGTATACTTATTGTAGGCTGTCTGTCGTATGCCCTTTGTAGGTTGTCTGTCGTATACCCCTTGTAGGTTGTCTGTCGTATATTCTTTGGCGGTTGTCGGTCGTATACCATTTGTAGGTTGTCTGTCGTTTACCATTGTACAATGTAGGCTCTCTGTCGTATACCCTTTGTACAATGTAGGCTGTCTGTCGTATACCCTTTGTGCAATGTAGGCTGTTTGTCGTATACTTCTTGTAGGCTGTATGTCGTATACTTCTTTGTAGGTTGTCTGTCGTATACCGTTTGTATGTTGTCTGTCGTATACCATTTGTACAATGTAGGATGTCTGTCGTATACCCTTTGTACAATGAAGTCTGTCTGTCGTATACCCTTTGTACAATG